TAGCCAGTGCTTTTCCAATGCCATTAATTCTTTGATGGGACCCTGAGTACTACATATAAATCTGATCTCAACTCCATTTGCATGGGGTATCAGATTCCATACATAACCAGGCATGTGGATCTAATGAACAAGCCTGATCTCCAAAATGTACCAGAAGAGAGGCTGCTATTTCCTTCTGTGCACATCTTACCTGCAGGTGTGCTGACCCCAGCGTGGGAGAGTGCAAGTCTTCCTTGGTCTGGTAGCCACTTTTATTTCCCAGTCCATTTCTCCTCAGAACAATCCCCAGCAGCAATTAATTGTTCAGTCAGTGTTCCAATGACGAAGGACTGAATGAAACAGCTTAGAACTGCCTTTGGCATCTTGTTTCTTTTTTTTTTTTTTTTAATAACTTTTATTATATCATAGTTATATATGTAAATAATTTTAAGTCGAATAGTCTCATAAGGTCTTTAGTGAAAAACTGTAGCCTTCTTTCCCATCTTGCTCCATGCTTGATTCCTGTTCTGCAGAATCATTTTTAAAGCATTCATCTGTTTCTTCTAGTAACTGTCTCCACATTTCAAAATAATATACTTAAACTCCTATTGGTTGATTTTCAGTTTTAGGTAAATTTATTAATCCGTTGATATGGAAAATTAGAATTTATGGCTCTTCCACCTCTTGTATTCACCCACCAGTCTTCTCTCTGCCTATGCTCCCAGTACAGTTATATCACGATTTTTGGTTAAATCAATGTTCAGGATTTACATTAATATACATATTGTTTATAGCTGAGCCTCATAGGGTTCTATGATGTCCTTTCTTGTACAAAATTTTATTTTTAAAAATCTTAACGCCTGTAATCCTAGCACTCTGGGAGGCTGAGGTGGGCGGATTGCTTAAGGTCAGGAGTTTGAAAGCAGCCTGAGCAAGAGCGAGACCCCATCTCTACTATAAATAGAAAGAAATTAATTGGCCAACTAATATATATATAGAAAAAATTAGCCGGGCATGGTGGCGCATACCTGTAGTCCCAGCTACTCGGGAGGCTGAGGCAGCAGGATTGCTTGAGCCCAGGAGTTTGAGGTTGCTGTGAGCTAGGCTGACGCCACAGCACTCTAGCCTGGGCAACAAAGCAAGACTCTGTCTCAAAAAAAAAAAAAAATCTTGAATATTCTCCCATTAGACAATTGGGGTACCAGTGAAGTCAGAATTGATAAGTATTTGTCTATATTCCAGACTTTGAAATAATATATTTTCATCCCACAAATGCAACTATAATGCTAATATTAAAATAGTGCTAATAATATTATATAAAATATAAATAATTTAATAACATTAAAAATACTAATATAATAATTAGTACTGATAATGCTATTTTTAAAAATTTGTTTATAATTGAGACATAATAATTGTACAAGTTGATGGGCTACAATGTGATGTTTCAATACACTTATACATTGTGTAATGATCAAATTAGGATAGTTAGCATATCCATAATCTCAAACATTTATCATTTCTTTGTGGTGATAACAGTCAAGATCCTGTTTTACAGCTATCTTGTAATATACAATAGAGTAGTATTCACTGTAGTCACGCTACTATGTAATGCCGTGTTTCCCCAAAAATAAGACAGGGTCTTATAATTTTTTTCCTCAAGAAGACACCCTAGGGCTTATTTTCAGGGGATGTGATATTTTCCCCTCAAAGCCTCAGCTTGCAGCAAGCACAGGATGGCCGGGACCTGACAGGGGAAGCCGACCTTGTTATTGGGGCTGCCTGCACCTTTCCGGTCACCTCTGGGATAGTAGCTGTCACAATGGGGCAGGTGAGAAAGGCTGCTCATCTTCTTTACCGCTCTATGATGAAATGCATGGGTTGTACAGATACCCTGCGTAGCGACGCCCGTCACTAGGTCTTATTTTCAGGGTAGGGCTTATATTGCACAAATGCTTAGAAAGCCTACTCGGGCTTATTTTATGGGTAGGTCTTATTTTCGAGGAAGCACAGTAGAACACTAGATTTATTCTTCTTATCTAATTGTAAATTTGTGCCCATTGACCAACTTCTCTCACTCTCCAGCTCCTCCTTCCCCCCTCCCCATCCTCTGGTAACCATTAATCTACTCTCTACTTCTATGATACCAACTTTTTTAGATTCCACATATGTGTGAGATGATGAGGCTATTGTCTTTCTGTGCCTTCCTGATTTCACTTAACAAAACATCCTCCAGGTTCATTCATGTTGCCATAGATAGAATTTCCTTGTTTTTTATAACTGAATAGTTTTTCATTGTGTGTATATACCACATTTTCATTATCCATTCATTTGTTGAGGGACATTCAGGTTGATTCTATCTCCTGGTTATTGTGAAAAGTGCTGTGGTACACATAGAAGTGCAGATGTCTCTTTGACACACTGATTTCCTTTCCTTTGCATATATACCCAGAAGTGGGATTGCTGGATCATATGGTAGTTCTATTTTTAGTTTTTTGCAAAACTTCCATACTGTTCTGCATGGTGGCTGTACTAATTTACATTCCTACCAACAGCAGATATGTTCCCCTTCTCCACATCCTCATAAGCATTTGTTATTTTTTGTCTTTTTGATAATAGCTATTTTAACTGGAGTGAGGCGATATCTTATTGTGGTTTTGATTTGTATTTCTCTGATGATTTTAGTGATGTTGAACATTTTTTCACATACTTGCTGGCCATTTGTATGTTTTCTTTTGAAAAATGTCTACTTAGGTCTTTTGCCCATCCTTAAATTGGATTATTTGGATTTTTGCTATTGAGTTCTTTGAATTCCTTATATATTCTTTTTTTGAGAACATGTTATTACCACAGGTTATTTCTGTATTGGTACTTATTATGAGGATTTTACATATACAGATATAAAAGGTCACTGTAAACATGCTTTTTAAAACAATATTTTAATTTTTGCTTATATATTCTGGATATTATCCCCTTGTCAGATGCAAAGTTTGTAAATACTTTCTTCTATTCTGTAGGTTGTTTCTTCACTCTGTTGATTGTTTCTTTTGCTGTGCAGAAACTTTTTAGTTTGATGTAATCTCGTTTGTCTAGTTTTGCTTTTGTTGTCTGTGCTTTGAAGTGATTTCCAAAAATCCTTGCTTAGTCCAATGTCATAAAGTGTTTCCCTGATGTTTTCTTCTAGCAGTAGCATAGTTTCAGGTCTTACATTTAGGTTTTTATTCATTTTGAGTTGATTTTTGTATATGGTGAGAGAGGTCTAGTTTCATTCTTCTGTACATAGACATCCAGTTTTCTCAGCAACATTTATTGAAGATACTCTCCTTTCCCCAATGTGTGTTCTTGGCAACTTTGTTGAAAATCAGTTGGCTATAAATGTGTGGATTTATTTTTTGGCTTTCAATCTGTTCCATTGGTCTATGTGTCTGTTTTGTGCCAGTAACATGCTGTTATGGTTACTATAGATTTGTTTATTTTTATTTATTTATATTTTTAGCGACAGGGTCTCACTCTCTTGTCCAGGCTGAAGTGCAGTGTTGCAATTATAGCTCTCTGCAGCCTGGAACTCCTGGGTTCAAAGAGTCCTGCAGCCTCAGCCTCCTAAGTAGCTGGGACTACAGAAGTATAACACCATGCCTGGATAATTATTTATTTATTTTTTTAGACATAGAGTCTCACAATGTTGCCCAGGCTGGTCTCGAATTCTGGGTTCAAGGGATTCTCCTGCCTAAGCCCCCCAAAGTGCCTAAATTACAGCTGTGAGTCACTGCACCTGATCTAGATTTATATTAATAATAGTATATTTTAAAGTCAGGTATTATGACGTATCTACCTTTGTTCTTTTTGCTATTTGAAATCTTTTGTGGCTCCATTACAATTTATTTTAGGATTGTTTTTTGTTTTTCTGTGAAGACTGTCATTGGTATTTTGATAGAGATTGTATTGAATCTATAGATTGCTTTGGGCAGTATGGACATTTTAATGATATTAATTCTTCCAATCCACAAACCCAAGATTTCTTTTCATTTATTTTTGTATTCTTCAATCTGTTTCATCAATGTTTGATAGTTTTCATTGTAGAGATCTTTCACCTCCTTGGTTAAATTTATTCCTAGTTATTTTATTTTCTTTTTATAGCAGTTGTAAATGAGATTTCCTTTTGTATTTCTTTTTCAGATAGTTCACCATTAGTGTATAGAAATGTTACTGATTTTTCTATGTTGATTTTGTATTTTGCAACTTTACTGAATTCATTTATTGGTTCTAATAGTTTTTTGGTGGAGTCTTTAGGGTTTTCTCTGTATATAATCATGTCATCTGCAAACAGGAATAATTTGACTTCTACCCTTCCAATCTGGATGCCTTTTTTTTTTTTTTTTTTTTTTTTGAGACAGAGTCTCGCTTTCTTGCCTAGGCTAGAGTGAGTGCCATGGTGTCAGCCTAGCTCACAGCAACCTCAAACTCCTGGGCTCAAGCGATCCTCCTGCCTCAGCCTCCCGAGTAGCTGGGACTACAGGCATGCGCCACCATGCCCGGCTGATTTTTATATTATATATATTAGTTGGCCAATTAATTTCTTTCTATTTTTATGGTAGAGACGGGGTCTCGCTCAGGCTGGTTTTGAACTCCTGACCTTGAGCAATCCGCCCGCCTCGGCCTTCCAGAGTGCTGGGATTACAGGCGTGAGCCACTGCGCCCGGCCTTGGATGCCTTTTATTTCTTTCTCTTGCCTAACTGTTCTGGCTAGAACTTCCAGTACTATGTTGAATAAAAGTGGTGAAAGTGAAAATCCTTGTCTTGTTCCAGATCTTAGCCAAAAAGCTTTCAATTTTTTCTTTCTCTTCAGTAATATGTTAGCTGTGGGTTTGTTATACATGGCCTTTATTAATGTTGAGGTATATTCCTTCTATACCTAATTTATTGAGAGTTTTTATCATGAAAGATGTTGAATTTTATCAAATGTGTTTTCTGCATCTGTTGAAATGATCATATGGTATTTGTCTTTTTCTTTTCTGAGACAGAGTCTCACTCTATTGCCCGGGACTGCAAATTAGTCAACCTCTATCGAAAGGAATTTGGAGATACCTCAAAGAGCTACAAATAGAACTACCATTTGATTCAGCAATAGCACTATTAGGCATCTACCCAAAGGAACAAAAGTCATTCTGTAATAAAGACATCTGCATTCAAATGTTTATGGCAGCACAATTCACTATACCAAAGATGTGGAAACAAACCAAGTGCCTGTCAATCCATGAGTGGATTAATAAAATATGGTATATGCATACAATGGAATACTACTCAATTATAAAAAATGATGGTGATCTAGCACCTCTTATATTTTTCTGGATAGAGCTTGAGCCCATCCTCCGAAGTGAGGTATCACAAGAATGGAAGAATAGGAGGTACCACATGTACTTGTCATCAAACTGGCACTAACTGATGGCACAGTTAGATGGCCCTAACAAACTGGCACTAACTGATGGCACAGTTAGATGGCCGTAACAAACTGGCACTAACTGATGGCACAGTTAGATGGCCCTAACAAACTGGCACTAACTGATGGCACAAACTGGCACTAACTAACACTAAGGTGCTCACACGGCAGTAATATTCTTTGGAGGTAGAGAGGTTGGGGTTGGGTAAATTCACAACTAATGGACGTGGTGAGCATTGTGGGGGGGAAGGGCACATTTCAAATCATAGTTAGGATGTGGCAAAGTCATAACATGTAACCAAATTGTTTGTACCCCTATAATTTCCTGAAATAAAAAAAAGAAGAAAAAACCATTATTAGTGATAAAGAGTGTTACCAGGAAATGATAAAAAAAATTCACTAGGAAAATAATAAAGATTCAAATATATAAAGCAAAAATTAACAACAATTACGTAGAAATTGACATATCCACAATAATAGTTGGAGATTTTAATACATTGCACCCATAAACTGAGAGATTTCAATGCAAGTCATATTGTGTCACTCCTTGGCTCAAAATGCTCCAAACGCTTCCAGCTCACTCAGAACAGAAGTTAACAACCTCTCCTGCTCTCCAAGGCCATCCTGAGCTCACCGGCTCATTAGCCTCTCTGTTCTTGTCAGCCTACTGGTTGGCACTGGAGCCTCATCTCTCTTCACGCCTCTGTGGCTTTCTCAAACTCCCTCCTGCCTCAGGAGCAGTCCTGCCTCAGGGCCTGTGTGCTGGCAGTTCCCTCAGCCCAGAAGCTTGCCCATGTATGAAAGGCTCACTCCCTCACTAATTAAAGGTGCCTACACATGTCACCTTCTTTTGATGCTTTTGTTGGCCACCCTACCTAATAGACTGTCTTTTACATGCATGCACATGGGGACATTTAAAGCATTGCCCAAGACTAGAAACCCTGCTGCTTGGGCTAAGCAACTATGTGGCTTTAGGACCTTCCCCATTCTGGCTCACAGGGGCAGAGGAAAGAGAAAGCAGATTGGTTTCTTACTAAAATTTGAGTCTTAGCAAAGTAGGGTTGTATGGGGTTAAGGAAATAGTTTCTGACAAGGGAGGAGGTATATTTTTGAAACAGCAGAACACAGTAGAAAGCCAGAATGAGAGTGATAAACTGGGGACAATGAGAGGGATTAGAAGCCTGGAAACTCAAAGGCTGGTGGAGAGCAGGTTGGGAGAGACGGTGAGGAAAGTAACTGTGGCCAGAAAGGCAAAGTTTAGAATTGTGTATCTTGGAGATGGAATATGTTTGCCCGCTAGTGAGGTTGGTATGTGGTTCTATAGTTTGACAGATGAAGCAGTCTTAGGAAGATGCCTGGTATTAATATTTCAAAGGGGCGTTGTCCTGGATGTACGTGTCAGTCAAGATAACGTCAGGGAATGGAAAGAGAAGACTGAATCTGTTGTGAAAAGGGCTGTTGAGAAAGTACCCTAGAGGTTTCCAGACTTTGACAGCAGTGCATGGGGCCGTTTAGTGCGCGTTTCAATTAAGTGGGCAGAAGGAAGAGATTACCAGTGAAAGCACAGTGCCTGCAAGTCAGGACAGCAGCAGGGAGGGAAGAAGCTGCTGGGAAACAGCCGGAAGTAATGTGATAGTTGTAAATTCAGAAATTACCATAATGGTCAAATTCCATTAGTGGAGCAGATTTTTAAAAGAGTATTTCCTCTGATATATTTCAGGAGCAGCACCCAGAGTAAAAAGGAGGTTTAAAAAACAAGGAGAAAAGAGAGAGATAAAAAAAAATGCAATTATTCAATTGTAAAAAGCTATATGAAAGAGAAATTACTGGTCGCAGAACTTCCTACAGATCAATCGAGCTTCCAGCTGTTTGGCGGTGCGGGCGGAGGACTGGAGGAGGCGTGCCGGTGGGGCGCGCGTCCGGGCGCAGGCCGGCGGGTCCAGGGCGCGCGAGGAGGGGAGGGCCTGCCCGGCGGGGCGAGGCGAGGGGTGGGGATCCGGCCGCCGGGGTAGGGCGCGTCTTTCCGGGCTGGGGTGGGCCCGGGGAGGGCGTCGGAGGGCGGGGCTGCTGGGGTCGGGCCGCAGTTCTCCGTCGGCGTCCGCGGAGGCGGCTGCGCCGAGCCGGAGCTGCGCGGTCTGGCGGGGTCTGGCGGAGTCTGGCGCGGTCTGGCGCGGTCTGGCGGAGTCTGGCGCAGGATGAGGTGGGCGCTGGCCGGCTCCGCTCGGCCCCGACGCCCCGCACCGTCCCGACTCCTGAAAGCCTGCCGCGCTGTGGCTCCCTCCCAGCCCCAGGCCCGCTCGGCCGAGACGGTGCCCCTCGGGCTCTCAGTGGAGTCGCCTCACGTCCAGGCTCTTTCTCGCCGAGGCCCCCTTCGCGTACCCCTGAGGCTCCGCGGCGTCCCTCTTCTCCGGCCGTCTCTGCTGGAGCGCCTCCGAACCCAGCCTCGACTCCTGGAGCCCCCCCAGGGCCTGCCCGGAGAAGTGCACGCACTTCTTTCCCAGTGTGTCTTTTGTTGGTCCTCTGTCCCGCATTCTATTTTTCCTGTGGTTTTCCGAACTTGTGCCCGCCCCAGCGCGGCCTAGGGTAATAGTCTAAGCGGATGTAAAGCTGAAGATAACGGAGGCGCCATAGATGTTTTAGTGATTCTGGCAACTCACGCATGTGTTCAGAAACGTGCTGAGCCCTAGGACCTTTGGGCTCTGGGTGCTGGGATGCGGCCACGCCCCGGCAGGGTGCTGCCCCGTGCCTGCTACCCTCCTGACCTGGCCGTTCAGGTCCACCTGGCTGGGAGCATTTCTTAAACAACAAGGAGCCCTGCCCATGGCGAGCGGCATAAAGACAATCGCGGGCCGCACAAACGATAAGCTGTGTTCTGGGAATTCATGGGATGGCACCCTACAGTAGCAGAGAAGTGGAAGCTGGGTTGGAGATAGGAATTGGGCCCCCTGTGGAGGAAATCCTTCTATATCCTAACAGTCAGTGTTCTCTGCTAAGCAGCAGATCACTGGAGTTCATTCTTTAGCAGCTGAATGTCTATGTCAGGTTTCTCAGAGATTATTCTGTTATGTCGCAAAGCTGTCCTTCAATGCTTAATCTTCTCTGAAATGCATCTGGTATGTGAAGACCCAGTTATTTAGCAGGAGACTCTTCTGTGCAGCTCTTCTCCCTCCAGTCAGCAGACATGGCCTTGGGATGCTGTCTGTCATGATTCCAGGTGGTACAAAATTAAGGGACAAATTCTGCCTTCTAAATGAGGCCACCTCCATTGTCCCCACCATCTCCTAAGGCCAAGGCCTCTCTCAGTTCCCAGCTGTCTTCTTACCTCCCTCTTGAGTGTCTCTCTGACCTCTAGTTTGTCCTGTCTGTTTAGCATGTGGGCCTTCCTGGTGAGACTCGAGTACATCCTGTGCCTGTCTTCAGCCTTTTCAGTGATGTCTCAGCTCCACCATGACCTCTCCCCCAGGTATGTTTGAGAAGGAAGGACTGGGAAGGGTTTTCTTTCTGCTGGAGGTATGCCTGGGGCCCCTGGAGGAAAGGCTTTTCTTATCTGCTCATCTTAAGTCTCATGGGTAACATCTCTAGAACTTCATGTACCTCATTTGTCCTTGCAGGATTAACCAAACTCACCTGACCCCCTCTCAGCTAAAGATCCGCAGAGTGGGTCTGAAAGTTAGGGGCTCAAACTTCACGCTAGAAGGCTTTCCATTCCTGATCGTAGCAGGCACTGTGCACTATTTCCGGGTGCCCAGGGGTTACTGGAGAGACAGCTTGCTGAAGTTAAAGGCCTGTGGCTTCAACACCCTCACCACGTGAGTGCTGTTCCTTAGTAATTAAGATTTGTAGTTGGAATTCCTAGTTCTGAAACTTTATTAAACCAGTGTAGAGATTGATCATTTCAGTACTTTGTTTTCTTAGGATTTCTGGGTCTTCACTTGATATGCTGAGAATCTTTTGTAGGAAGAACTTGCTCCACTTCCTCTGAAAGGCCTCTGTCTAAAAAGAATCAGTATACAAGTATCAGGATGCAAGATTCCAACTTTCAGAGGCAGCAGCAAGTACAGATGACTGTAGCCCAGGTGGTCAACTACTAAAGAGGCTTGGAACGCCAGCCTTATGCCTCCTTGTATAACCTCACTTGCCATAGGAGTCACGGTAGCACTGACGAGTCCCAGGAGGAGACACTATTTTAGAAAATCTTGTCTTTGAATATGAGTTTCATTGAGAACAAGGCCTGGCAAGTCATAGAATTGTCCTCATTTTCAGAAGCTGAAATTAAAGAAAATAAATGATTTCTCTTTATCCTTCTAAGCTTGGAAATTGCTTATCAATTATTGTTTTGATAGTCATTTTTAGTCATGTCTTCTTTTTCAATGGTTTGATTTTTTAAACATGGGCTTCAAAAAAAAATATCTGGAGTGTCATTTGGTAAGTGATGGGGATAGTGTTTTAAAGCATTCCTCCCCCCAACCCCCGAATTGTCATAATACCTTTTAAAAATCATCTTTCCTATTTTTTTCTCATTGTTTTATATGACAGTGTTCACAGACATGGAAATCTCAGGAACTATTAAAATTTCAAAATCATTTGTGTTCTTTTAGTAGGGCTGCCAAGTTTTTATTTGTTTATTTTTAGTATTCTTGCTTAGAAAAATGAAGTACTACTGTTATTTCATAAACTAGAAGTGATTCTAGTTTATAAAATCTAGTTTATGAATCTCTTCTAGCAAAAGAGATTCTCCTACCAAAGAGGTAGGAGATCATTATCATATAATAAAGACAGTTTATGCATTGAAGAAATTTAGCATTGTTAAAAAAAACTGCATTACCTTTATTTAAAAAAATACTGTTTACAGCTAATCATCCAAAGGCTCAGAGGCACGAACTTATAATTTGACAAAATCAGATTTGCTGACTTGCAGGGAGGCAGTGAGTCTCAACAAAGGTGGGGAGGACTTTTGGAAAGTTAGGTTCTAGCTAAAGGGTTCTGAGGGCAGTCTAAGAAAAGCAGAGATAAATTTTGCATTGGTTGCTGTTTCTGATGTAGGATTAGAAGAAATGGGGATTAACTAGGGTTGGGTTCTGGCATGAGATAAAGGCAGTTTAGTAATTGAGTCTCCCTGGAAATAGATGGATGTAGCAAGAGGGTGTGGGGGTGTCACTGGTGAGAAAGTGATGGTCATCACAGAGGGGCTATGGTGATTTACAACTGCTACACAACCTTGGAAGAAACTGTGTGTCCTGTTAACTTTTCATCTGGCTTTAGCTGTGTCTGCTTCCCAGACTGAAAATGGCAAGGCTCGTTTTTCTTTCTCAGTCTGAGTTGATTTTCATTCAGTCTTGGACAGGTTTTTAATTATTAAAACTTTTCACTATGGGTGCACAAAAACTTTGCTTCAGGGCCAGCGGATCTTGACCAGTGTTAGAGAACACAATGATCGCTTTTATTTCCAGGCTATTATTGGTTGTGTTATATTGTATTAATTCTTATACCATCATAAAACTATTAATTATTGCACCTTTATATTTTGATGTGTTTGTTTCCCCCCCCCCTTTTTAAATACAATATTGGGTTTCTAGTTTTATGATGTCTGATAGGCTGGTTTCCTTTCTTAGCCTTTTATTGGCCAAATAATTTTATTTGCTGTTTCTAGGAAGTATTGTCTTGTTTTGGAATGATAGGTTAATTTTTCTAATTGTTCCATTTCCTTTCCTCTGTTAGCTTGAGAGATATATATTCTTTTACCGGATACTTGAGAGTTTAGAACATGCATCCTTTATTTATCAACAACTAATACTCCCTTGTACTTTTACCCACCTTATTTAATGCTAAAACCTTAGAGAACTTTATCTGCTGTTACTTCCATTCTGGTGGATAAGCTTTTGTTGCTATATATTTTAATTCTAAATAACAAGACATTATTATTATTGTTGTTCTGGGACCATTTTCCTTCCACATGAAAAATATGTTTTTTATTTTTCTTTATTGTAGATATGCTGGTAACAGAGTTCTCAGCTTTTCTTTTTTTAATCTGAAAGTGATCTTGTTACCCTATTGTTTCTGAGCAATATTTTTACTAGTATAAAATTCGAGGTTGATAGGTGTTTTCTTTCAACTGCCGCCTTCAGATTTTCATTGTTTCTGTTGTGAAGTAAGCTATCAGACTAATTGGTGCTTCTTGGAGAATAATATATCCTTTTATTTAATTGCTTTGAGGAATTGAAGGATTCTAGTTTTTTTAATAAACATTATTTTTTAGAGTAGTTTTAGATTTACTGAAAAATTTAGCAGAAAGTACAGACGGTTCCTATATATCTGCCATCAGAGTGGTATATTTGTTATAATCCATGAACCTACATTGACACATCATTATCACCCATACATAGTTTACATTAGGGTTCACTTTTGGTGGTATATAATTCTATAGATTTTAACAAATGCATAATGGCATGTATCTAGCATTATAGTATGATCAGAATAATTTAACTGCCCTAAAAATCCTCTGTGTCCTGCTTAGAGGATTTTCACTGCCTCCCCCGTAACCCCTGGCAACCACTGATCTTTTTAATGTCTCCATGGCTTTGCCTTTTCAGAATGTTATGTAGTTGGCATCATATAGTATATAGCCTTTTCAGATTGGCTTCTCTCACTTAGTAATATGCATTTGAATTTCTTCTATGTCTTTTCATGACTTGATAGCTTATTTCTTTTTACTGCTGAATAAATTCCATTGTCTAAATATACCATAGTTTATTTATCCATTCACCATTGAAGGACATCTTGGTTGCTTCCAAGTTTGGGCAATTATATTGAATAAAGCTGCTATACAAATCTGTGTTTAGATTTTTGTGTGGACATAAGTTTTCAACTCATTTGGGTAGATATCAAGGATTATAGAGTAAAAGTATGCCTAAGTTTGTAAGAAACTGCCAAACTCTCTTCCAAAGTGGCTTTACCATTCCCCCTAGGAGTAGTTTCCTATTCCATATCCCTCCTAGCATTTGATGATGTCAGTGTTGTGGATTTTGTCTATTCTAATAGGTGTGTAGTGTTATCTCATCCTTGTTCTAATTTACAATTCTCCGGGGACATACAATGTTAAACATCTTTTCATATTCTCTAAATCTTCTTACACGAGGCATCTGTTCAGATCTTTTACTCATTTTTTAATCAGGTTGTTAGTTTTCTTATTGTTAAGTGTTAAGAGTTCTTTATATCTTTTAGATAATAGTCCATTGTTAGATATGTCTTTTGCAAATATTGTCTCCCAGTTTGTAGCTTGTCTTCTCATTTCCTTGACAGTGCTTTTTTTTAGAGCAGAAATTTTTAATTCTAATGTTAAGTCCAACTTATCAATTATTTATTTTATGCACCATGCTCTCAGTGTTGTGTCTAAAAAGTCATTGCCTAACCCAAGGACATCTTGTTTTTTGAGTTAGTTTTGTGAAGGGTTTAAGGGATGTATCTAGATTCTTGTTTTTTTTTTTTTTGATATGTATACCATGTTTCCCCAAAAATAAGACAGGGTCTTATATTTATTTTTCCTCAAGAAGACACCCTAGGGCTTATTTTCAGGGGATATGTTATTTTTTTAAGTACAGTACAACAATCTACATTTATTCAAATATAGTTAAGTCGCCGTCTTCTGGAACATCATCATAACTCTCCAAACCCTGAATTCCTTCCTGAATTTCTTGCGACTCTATTTCCTTTAGAACCATTGACCCCAGTCTCTCATGTTGAGCCATAGAGCTCTCATGGGGCAGATGAGAAGGGCTGCTCATCTTCTTTACTGCTGGGCAACGAAATGCATGGGTTGTGCAGATGTGCTGCGTAGCCACGCCCATCACTAGGTCTTATTTTCGGGGTAGGGCTTATATTGCTCAAATGCTTAGAAATCCTGCTAGGGCTTATTTTATGGATAGGTCTTATTTTCAAGGAAACACGGTAGATGTTCAATTGTTCCAGCCCATTTGTTGAAAAGACTGTCTTTGCTTCATTATATTGTCTTCGCTCCTTTCTCAAAGATCAGAGGACTGTAATTGTATGGGACTATTACTGGGCTGTCTATTCAGTTTCATTGATATATTGTCTCTTCTTTTATGAATACTACACTATTTTGATTGCTATAGCTTTATAGTAGGTCTTGAAGTCGGGTAATTTCAGCCTTCCAATTTTTCAGGACTGCTATACAGAAGAGTGATTGATTTTTGTATATTAATTTTGTATTCTACAACTTTGTTATAATCTCTTATTAGGTACAGGAATTTTTTGGTTGATTCTTTAAGAATTTGTATAGAGACAATCATGTCATCTGTGAATAAATAAAGTATTATTTCTTTCTTCCCAGTTTGTATACTTCGTATATCGTTTTATAATCATAAAGTCATAATCCATTGTCTAGGACTTTCAGTACAATGTTGAAAAGCTGTAGTAAGTGGAGCCATCTTTGCCTTTTTCCTGATCTTAGTGGGAAAGTTTCTAGTTTCTTACCATTAAGAATGGTGTTAGCTGTAGGTTTTTTGTATGTATTCTTTATCTAGTTGAAGAAGTTCTCTATTTCTAGTTTGCTGAGAGTTTTTATTGTGAATGGGTATTGGATTTTGTCAAATACTTTTCCTGTATCTATTGATATAATCATGTGATTTTTCTTCTTTAGTTTGTTGATGTGATGGGTTATATTTTGATTTCCAAATATTGAACTAGACTTATATACTTGGAATAAATCCCACTTGGTTCTGGTAAAGAATTACTTTTATACATTTTTGGATTCAATTTCATAATATTTTATTAAATATTTTTGCATCTATGT